GAGGAGGTGTGATAGACCCCCCCCGCCCCCCCCGCTGTAAAAACACTGCACACTCGGCCTCCTCCTCCTTCCTTCTTCCAGGGATAGGAGATGAGACTCTCAGGTTCTCTACGCTGGGAGCAGAAAAATAACAGTGCCAAAGCTACATCATCTATGGAATTTATGAGCTGCAGTTCAACCCAAGGCCACTGCGGAACACAAAAACATCACAGGGATTTTCTACGATTTTTCATTTGGAGCAGCACACACAATGTACTTTGCAGACCGCCAGCTTATTTATTACACATGGCAGAAATGCCAGGCAGTTTTGGCAGCCAGACGTATTACCTCTGAGCAGAGCCAGAGAGATTGGAGAATAATGTCCAACAGAACGAGACCTGCTGACCCAAGCTGCAACATGGATAGCCACTTAGCCGGGCAAGCCAGCGGGACAAACAACAAGCTGAAGATGAAATATCGGATGAAACTAAGTAAAGCCTGGGATCAGAGGCAATAATGTGAAACAAATATATGGTAGCATGTGTTACAGAAAGTACAATAGTCCATAAGATAACACTGATTATAACTTGATTACTGTCTGCAGACAAGAAAGACACTCTGACTCGCAATAAATTTGACCTACAACCAATAAAGCAACGAAAGGGTTAGAAGGTTTTATGAGCATTAGTAATAATACAATGTAGTAAAAGTGCTCTAGCAAGAGCTCAAGAACGCCCTCAGATATGGTTGAAAAGCTACAGAGCCTGTATAATCCATGTTTGTTGAGATAAGCCATGTCAATAGCAGTCGAACATTTGACAGGATTTGTGAAAAGGCCTTGAGCGCACAGTCCATTCCTCCGTAGCTTAGTGTCATGGTGACAGCTGGCTGGAAGAGGTCAGTAGGTGGCTGATCTACTGTGCCCTAAACAACTGGCAGCATCTACCCTCTCACAACACAACATGCAAATACATGGAAAAGGCATCAACTCAGCTCGGCACTGCTGTCAAAATAGATACAGTGAAAGTGCTGGGAGGATTTTTTTTTGTTCTGCTGGCAGATAAAAACGGGGCTGTTGTCACTTTAAGTAGATGACAGCTTGGCCCTTGAGAGGCCAGCTTTGCGCTGCTGCTACACAATTACAGGTACTCGGACCTGTGTAGCACCACTCTAAGAGCACTCTCAGGCTGGCTTGTCAATGGTGTGCAGAAAGGTATTCGCCTGTTTCTATCAGCAGTGGGAAAATGGAGTCGAGACACTGATGAGTATTAAATACAGAGGGAAAACCACTGGTGGCTCTGGTCACATGATCCATCTATAAACAATACTTGACTAGTCAGATTACGAGGGCCTCCAATTTGTCCAAGATGACAGCATTGCCCCTTCTCTGATTTTTCTAGTTAGATTAGTACTTCACTAGCGGCTCATCTAAGCCAAAAAATGATGCATGCTTCCACTGAACTGAGCTGTTGCACAAGGCCTCAGAGTCTTTGTTAATGTGATAGTCCAGAACACATTTCTAATTGGCATTTGGAGTTATCTGTATTGATCTGGCTAAGACCAAAAGCCTGCCTAAATGGATGCATGAGTCATTGCTATGATTAACCTTGTCGGCTGCAGCAGTAAGTCAGGTGATCTTCTTGGGCAAAGGACGGCATAAAACCATAACCTTCTTCATCATGCCATATCTTAAAATACAATAAATTTCTGTTTATACAAGCGGACCTGACACCCAACAGTTCACACCCTGCAATTATTACACTCCAGTCCCACATGACAGATTGGGGATATGGGAGCATTGGCTTGGAGTGCCACAGTTTCTCTAACTACTTTCCCCTGCACGTCCCCTTCTGTATGAACACTGCAGACAGTCTGCTGGCTGACCAAGTTTTTTTTGGCCCCGGGTATGGCAGATAGTTTGCTACTTAGCAAATGACTCCTGCAGCCATGGGTCTCATATCTGTGTTACGACTACAGGTAACAGCCAAATCTGATTGAGCCTCACCCAAGCCCCAAACCCCGTGCAGCTCTTGGAAACAAGCACCAGATGATGGTAATTACTGGCTGACATCACGCAGCAGAAATTAGCTATTTGTATCTACATACTGTCACGGCTGATAGAGAGGAATCAGATAACACTGCCACATCAGTCCATCTGAGCTGTGCCGGCGTGTGCATTCTGAAATCTGAATTATGTCCCTGCACAGTAATGAAAAAGGCAGAGTTAGAGGAATAGATTTCCTCACTATGGAATAAATCTCCTGGCAGGAAAATAATATGCCTATGTGCATCCAATAATCTATCCCAACCCTGCCTGTTAACCACTCCCCATCTTCTCCTCCTCCCCTGCCTGAGCCGTAAGCCGGGGGAGCTGCATGCGCGGGGCCCACACTGTTTGCTCACAAACACGCCGTTCAGCAGGTTAGGGCCCCACTGATGAATTATTCAAGCGCTTCCATCAGCTTTGTTGAGGTTCCTGATAAAAGTCAGGCGCTAAAATGGATCAGTCGATTAACCTGTTTACACAGAGCTGGGCTGTTGCCCCTCCCCCGGCTCTATTCTCCAACGTGTCTCCGGCTCCCATCCCCCTCCTCTTTCCTCTGGTTGGCGATAAGTGCCTGACAGAAGCTATCAGAGCGGCTCGAGCCCTGACAGACATGTGGCAGTGTGACACACAGCCCGGAGACTGATGGATCACCCTACCACACCGATCCGCCATGCCTCAAACGCTGTCCTTAACCAGGCTAGGCTGTTGCAGGAAAGGGGACAGCATCGCTGGTTTAAGAGCAGCATGCATGTGAATCACAGAGTTACTCATTCATACAATCTTTATCTCTTCAAGCACCAGTGTGATTGATCTGTGGAGCAATACAAAAAAGGCTCTTTCGATGAAGATAAGGGCACAATAAGTGACTGAAGGACTTTTACCTCCCTCTTGTAATTACTGTGCCTCTTTAAAAGAAATACTGGCCCATCAGCAATCCTCTCCCTTTAATCATTAAGTCAGAGGCCGAGCCTGCCAAAGTCTACCTTTAATCTTATCAAAAGGTAGAGACAAATCCAGGCTTTACACAACTCAAAAATAAGGGTTACAGCAGTTGTACAAGTGGTGGTACAAGTTTGCAATTTTAATGCGTTGTTTGTGTGCAGTAGATCTGTCTGTTTACAGCCTATTACTGATGCTCCGTTCACTTCATAGCCTATGAGCAGCTCCCCCTGAGTCTCACATCCCCTGACACTGGAAAACCACTGAGCTGAACAATTTGAGGAACATGATGGTACCTACCTGTTTGTGCATCTCTATGTTCAGCCCGTAGGACATCTCATAATACTGAAATGAAAGCAAAGAATTAATTGTGATTAATGAAGTCAAAAAAAGTTCCATTTACAATCAAGTTGTGCTAACATTTACTATACTCATAATCCTAATTTAAATGTAACTAACATAGGGCATATAGCCATAAATCAATATTTGAATCGATCACTCTGCTAATTACATCATCAAATGGTTTTGAACATCACGACTGAAACCTAAATTAAATCCAGCTTCTGTGGCGCAAATGTGATAAACTAAGATCAGACTAAAAAGGAGTTCTTCTAGCAGCTGACAGTGAATAGCCAATACATCGATATTTTGTTGTTTATAATGTGGGCACAGAGAAGAAAGGGGTTAAATTTATTGATCACCATCTGAAGCCCTCAGATCTCCAGGATGTCTATTTACTTAGCGTAACGCGATTGCTCAACACTCTTGATATTTCAAGCCAGGTCAGTCTGTCTGGCTGAAATGTAATCCGTGGAGCCCACAAGTGGCAGCCAGGGCAGAAATGGCTTTCCAGTCAGCGTCTATTTGATGAGGCCAATGCATTATTCAGTCCATTAGCTTCTTCGAAAATTACTCTCAAACAAGAGAGCCATTCTGTCTGAGATCAGAGCCCCACAGCCGTAGCGTAACCTGACACCCAGTGCTGGCTGTGGGATACTTCCCTACATGTTTACCTAACCTCCTCCCAGTCAGGCTGACATGTTGTTTTCCTGAAAAGAATGTTTAACTTAAGCCTGCATGTATTGGTTTAAGTCATCCTGGGTGTGTTTACCTGGGACAACAGAGCACACTGCCACCGAAGAGCCCTCTGATTGCGTCATGTCTGAAGTGAATTCCTGCATCATAAGCACACCTATGTTTTCCCAAAAGGGCTGCTAAAATAAAAGCTAATAATTTAGGTTCACACAGAAACTGCTAGCATGTTCCACGACCTCCATTTTGTTTGCTGTGGTGCATTCCCCCCTGCCCCACACAAACACACACACTTTGCCTCTGGCCCTCCACCATCAGCTCACACCTAATTTATGGCCATGCATATGTCTTTGAGCGTGGAGTCTCCTAGGAGAATAATCAGATCAGCACACACAGAGGGCAACGCTGCAGTCGACCCCTTGGAGATCAGGGGCGCGTTTATAATGGAGCCTCAGCCCACTGCCGCCTGCCTGTCAGGAAGAGCTCCTCCATAACAACCAGCTACATCAAACCCCTTGGGGGCTTTCACAGGCCTTAACCTGACACTCAACCCGCCCTAACCACCACACAGGTGATCACAATAGCCTGTCTCACTCCACCCCAACTAGATCTTCAACAAGCCTGGCAATTTGGAACCATAATTGCTCCCTATTGTAACGTAATCTTACCATGACATAGTGGCGCTGCATCTCCGTCTTCTCATTGGCCAGTTTGTCATACTCCACCTTAAGACTAAAATAGAGGACAAGGTGTCAATTTCAGGCATCTCTATCACTTGAGTAACTCACTCACACTTAACCGATTGACAGCAGCGTGTCTTTTTCATTCCTACAGGAGGCAACAACCAAATATTAGCCTTCACTTTTACTATTCAATAGAGAGAAAATATTGACACTGTCATACTTTTAGCGATGCACTTTGTAATCATTACCTGTGATACTGGGCTTGCAGGAAGTGGAACTCCTCCTTGATCCGGTCACAGGACTCGGTTACGGTGAACTTTAACGGCTGTCCCGGCTGGTGGGGGACCTCAACCCAAACCAAACAGCGTGGGGGGGGAGAGAGGAAGAACTGAGCCACCAAAGTGTCACGACACACACACACACACACACACAAACAAACACACACACACACAAGATTGCATATGACAATAGGCCTCTGTGATTTGGCCTTTTGGTTTCACTCAGACTCCTTACACGTTAACCCACGCACACTCACAGACTCACACATGCAGCTGCAGCAGTTTGACAATGAGCGCAATTGTCCGTGTGAGCGCGCAGTGGCACGGAAACTTGATCTAAACTGATTACGCATCAGGCGCGCGGCTGTTAATCTGCGCTGTTTTGACATACTGCCTTGGCTGCTACTGCTCTCCACTTACCGGATGCCGCGCCGGGGGGTACATCTTGCTCAGATCTCGAATCATTAAAAATGTATTGCAAAGTTCATCCACATAAACGCGAAAACAAAATGATTGAGCACGGATCTTTCCCCGTGCGTAAAAGGTCAGTCAGTGGCCGGCTCTTGGGCTATGTGCAGGTTCCGTGAAGAGTGGAAACATCCTCGGACCTGTGGTCGGTCGTCATTCTTTTAGACAATATTTCAAAAGTCCATTCAGTGTGATAATCAAAGCAGGAGTTGTCTCGGTCTTCTCCAAAAAAAAAGCTCCAGCGCGTTATTCTATGCGCACGGAGCTGAATACTGTCCCTATGAACTAACAACGAGTCCTCTATATCCTCTGGTTTTCCCTACAAAAAATCGACTTCTGGCACATCATGACCCTGCTTGTCCGCGACTGAGCTTCTCCACGGCGTCCCGTCGTCACGCATTTATCGGTTAATTTCCTCCAGCCTCCGTTAATGCTCACATCCTCTCACAGCACCGGCGGAGCGACCACCTCACCGACTGTAGCAGCCCGCCCCTGCCAAGCCAAATTTAGAAGCAGCCAGTCGCACGAGCGCAATTACATATTCACAACAATTATAAGAGCCCGTACCATGACGTCGGGACGTGTAGTTTAATTCATATTAGTCGATAATAAGCACTACAGATGTGCGTCCGCTGTAAAGAACTACAATTTCCCGGTTCCTCCGCGAAGCCCCACAAAGCCAATGGTGTGTGGTCTGAGGGAGGAGCGGCCATTAAAGACAGCCAATAGCGACAGAGAAGCGAACATACCGCGCTTCATTCTCCTGCCAATCATCGATATGCTGTCCAATCACCTCCAACATGATGAGCTTTATCCAGGCTGCCCCACGTGGGGGCTCGGTCTGGTACTAAAAGATGTCACAGGGATTAATCTGGAAACTATCTGTTGACTTATGTGTTTTTTTTATAGAGACTTCCAGGCTGAAGAGAACATATGGCCCCGAGGTGTCTCGTGTTTTTCCTGTTTTTTAATTGAATCGCCCATTAAAAGAGACTGCTGTTCTGTCCACAGATTGCACTTACAACCCTGCAATTAAATTCGCATTGAGCTGTAGAGCCCCTGTACATACATCTGCCTGTTTGTATAGGATGTAAATCATATCAGGGTAGACAAAATATTGTAAACACTTAATGAACTTCAGTTTGGATCATTATTACTGTTAATAGGGTGGGGTATATTAGGCTGCAGTCTCATTAGCACTTTCTCAAACCACTTTATTCTGTCTTGAATACATGTGTTGGAACATATTTTCAAGGTTTTTTTTTTGTTCCCCTTTACATAAAAACTTTTTGAGTGATGCACCTGCAGTTTGGAAGTGGTGGAAGAAGTAGAAGAAGAAGCAACGCCACAGACAGCGATACTATGTTCACCTGCATTAAAAATTCGTATGAGTTAATAGTATTATGTAAAAATATATTAAATATAGGCCACTATGAGTACCAAAAATACTTAATGCATGCATCTCAGAATAATATATATTATTGGATTATTGATTAATTATTAATGTGTACATCAATTTAATGTTGCGCTAAAAGGTGGGTCCTAACTGTATTGTACTTTATATAGCTTTCCCACCTCTAAGGTGATTGACCAATATCAATTAACCTATATGAGCGCATACAGTTCCATATAAATCATACACAGCTACTTAAAGGAGCCAGATCAACTTGCAATGACATTTTTGCCATTAATTTGCCCCCCCCACCCCCACAGCCACTAATAAGGCACCTATTCTGAATAAACTGAAATACAGTCACTGACTAGGACTCTCTATCCCCCCTGTCTTCTCCTCTCCTCCTCCGTTTATACAGTAAATTCTAACATTTGCTGGCTTTGAGTAGATGTTTCAGTGTGGGGTAGAGTGAAACACTGTTGCTGGGTCCAGGCAGGCTCGCTTAACCACCCTGCGTTCAGCTCCATTTATCTGCCACAAAAACTGACTGGTGTCGAAAATCTAAATCCATCTTCTGCTGCATTGGCACTTCATTTTCTTCTCTCTCTCTGAATTTGTATATCATACCCGTCTTATAGCTACCATTTAGGACCTGTTATAAATATGTGTGCCTAAAAGATTCGTGTCCTTATATGAATTAAAAGAGAGCTCTATCCCATTCGTATAAGTATTCCTTTTATTTTTTCGCTGCTCCAAACCACACCACAACACACACATACACACACAGGGTACCAATGGTTATCCACATAATGACACCACAATCAGGTACTCTCTCTAAGTCTGTCTGCCTCCCTGTCCTTGTCTTTCCTGTTGTCCTGCCTTTCCCTCAATACATTACACCAGGGTTGTGCAGCAATACACCCAGCCGCCGTCCAGCCATTCAAATACACATCTCCATCCCTACCACAAGCATACAAACTAATATCTGCAAGGTATAGCACAGGGCCTTAGAAGTGACGCTGCTGTCCGTTGGTGCGTGAATCCACCCTAAGGCGTCAGAAAAGGTAATATCGTGCCTCCCTCTTCCCTCCCAAGGTTGAGGCCCCCGTGATGTGGTGCCCCCGAGCCATGGGAGGTGGCAGAGTGAGGGGGAGGGGGGCCCCAAGGTGAGGGAGGAATAAAAGATTATTTGCCTGCCCCCTCTCCCCTGATTCATTTTGGCCCCGTGCCTTTTGTTCCAGACCTTATGAAACCTCAAATGTCAAGTGAGCGAGGGCCCTCCATATCGAGGCCCCTGGTCCAATCACATCCCCTCTGCGCACCTGGAAGCCCTGACGCCCGGATTATTGGCTTCACACAAGGGCCTGCCCGTTTTGCCTGCCAGCTCACAATGCCTCAACATTCGACCCAGCCCAAGTTTTTTTTTATTTTCCCTAAAGAGGAACTTCAAAATTTGGGCAGCTGATTGCGCTGAAAAGATTGTGGCAACAGGAGCCGGTATTTTGAGGGTAGATGGGTAGCAG